TTGACAAGCGCACACCAGAAACATCTCGAGCACTGCCAGTGAAAGTAAGTGGTTTCCTTTTTTAAAAGAGCTCTGCAGGTGTTTTCTTACTCATGTCTGATTTTAACCCCCACCCACCCTCAAAATGTGGATATATGCAAATCGGATTAGCGTTGGTTTGAACATGGCTCTTAATTCAAAGCGTATCTGTATGAATATTTAGAGGTATGTCGACACAGACGTGGCATTTGAGGTCTTTTTAGAGTGTCTGGTTTGTGTGATGTTGGAAAAGTTGTCAGAGAAGCGGTTTGACGGTCTCTTCAGAACCAGAGATTATGGTGGATGGTCTGTCTGCATGGGGATTTTCAATGCTAGGTGTAAATGGGATTACATGGTGCTGTAATGGAGCCATGTGATGTTATTTTCTGAGGCTCTGCTGATTAATTTATGGATTAATTCTCTGTCAAATGATGTTAAATTAGCCGGACTAATAAGGGACTCTGGAGACTCCCAGCAGCAGCAGCACTCTGCTTTGTACATCTATGTGGGTGTGTTTGTACCAATGAGTCAATGTGCACGCGTGTGAGAGCAAATTCAGCCCCTCCCCCATAACACACCAGCTGATATTTAAATGTATTCACATGCACACCATGCTCTGATGCAAAATATCCAAACTAGCCCCAAAGCGCTGTCCGGATCACAGCAAATAAATCTAATCTAGTGCAGAGGACTGTGGTTTTGGCTCTATAATGACTGTCCAGCACATTTAAAAACCAGTGAGAATAACCAAAAAATTACTCAGTTTTGCCCCAGTGTTTGCTGCAGGCCTTTCACCCTAAAAAGCGATGACTGAATGTTAAATTACTCTGACCGGTGACAGAAAAATCACACATCATCTGCAGAAAGTGTCAATGTTTTCTCATAAGGCAGTGAAGCATGAAGTGTTTGGGACAGCGAGCCAGGAGAGAGATCACAGCAGATTCCTTTCCCCAGATCATCTGTGCTCCTACACAGAATACACTGATTGGGGGACAAAATTAAAATATCACTTTGTACTGCACTGGATTATTTCCAGCAGTTTTGCTCCATTACCTCTGAGAATGAATCCGCTTTCGAACCGTGCGTCGATACTGAGCAGCGACGCCGTAGTTAATTGGGACTCTGTCTCCTCGCTCTCCCAGGCCACTGCAGTGCCTCGCTGTATCTCCTGGTTTATCATGTTTGACTCTTTTCAAAGAGACATTCATTAAAAAAATCCCACCAATACAAGTTTAAGTGTTTCTGACGAGCTGTTGCGCAGCAATGTTAAAGTTCCTGCCTCCTCTTCTGGTTAGCGATCCTCGCTTACCTGCTTTCTCTGCCTCATCTACCCAACCACCTTTTCATTTATCCCTCCATCCCCCTGTCGTTTCCCTCTGTGTATATTTGCACATGTTAGATGATAACAGCAATAAAGTATCAATGCTTCACTTTGTCTTAGCCAGCAATCATTCTAACAGACATGCTTATGACAATGTACTACTGCTCAGTGTCTCGGGGAAAGAAGAATAAATTGCAGAAAAAGTACACACAGCTGGAAAATGTTATTTGTTTCAGACAAGGGATATAATGTCAGCCTATTCTGGAGCTCATGCTATCTACAGCTGAGCTGTCGGAATATGAAAATAGGGTCTGTGACATTTCCATTTTCCTTGTATCACGTCTTTTTTTTATGAAACAAAGCTGTTTATTTAGCAGAAATACTGCCTGCTGATTTCTTTCTCCATGTCTCTATTACACCAAATGTTCTCAAGGGTTCGTTTGTCTTCTAAATCTACATTTCTTTCTAATTTACTGTTGTAGTTTACATTTACCTGTTCTAAGTATGTTTGGGTCCTTTTGAGAGACTGAGCTGGATTGCCAAAGAAGGAAAACGGATTGCATCTCAAAAATAAAAATAAAGTGATATATGTTCTCTGTACTTACAAATAAAGTTAGCTCTAACTAAATCTGAATCGTGCTGGTGTGAATCGTATATTCTACACGATACATGTTATTATAGACCACAACACTGAAACTATTGACAGGTGCGTAACATCAGTGATCTTGTTACGATGTGATGTCCTGCCGGCAAATCCTGGGTCCTTGATTCATTTCTTTGACACGTC